AATGGTCTTTATTGATTTAAATATCTCTCTCTGATCTCCCTGAATAAAAATTCAGTAATGGCTTAGGTAATAGTGAACCATTGAGTGCAATCTAAATACAATACTTATACAGATCTAATTTTAGAGAATCTAATGAAATGATCTAATATACATACAAATTTAATAAAACCATCTAGATTTGCAAAACACTATCTTAGGAATTATAATTCTATTGAACTTAATTTGAGCAACTGTAGCATCAATTAGGTAAAAGCATTTAAACTGAAAAGAGATTGTATTTTCTCCCTTTAAAAATAATTTAAATCAGTCAAATCTCCTGCTGTGGATATTTAGGAGCTGGCTACCATAAACCTGCAGGTGACCCTCACCCCTGAGCCCTCACAGCTTAACCCTCCCCTCTTCCTTGGGTACCTGATGATTCAGGGAGTCCCCTGAGACTCTCCCAACCTCTGCCCAGGGCTGCATGTAGAACAGTGGGGGCCACTTGGGAAAAGCTGGAATTTAAACTACTGAGCCAATTTTTGTTTTGATTATTTTCTTAGCTCAGTGAACTTTGTTTTAGCCAAGCTGCCAACCAACTTTCTTGAGCTTTTCTTCTCACGGTAGACAATCCAGCTTTGATAAAAGGGAGTGCTTCTTTCCAAATCTTTCTCAAGGCCGTCCTTCTGTAAGAGTCATGCTTCTAATGTGTATGACTAATGTTTTGTGCACTTTGGGACATTTCTTTTCAATTTCTACACGGTAAATTGCTTCCTCAGTTGATGTTTCAGCAAATTTTCGTCACATGTTCTTGAAATAGTTCAGACAGTATTTGAAGTTTTAGCTCAAGTTTTGTAATAATACTTTCAGACTGTGAATTAAGACTGCAAAGACTTTGTTCAGTTTGGACAGCATTCATTTGAACTGTGAATTGTTGACTTAATTTTCTTCACTTTTTAAATAATCCTTGGTTTTTCTCCTTCAAGCCTTTTAAAGGAAACATTTGTCAACATTAGTATATCTTTCAAATTGACTTCTGATTGACAGTCTAGGAAATTGTCAATTTCTGATTTTCTCTTTAATTTCAAATTGCCATCAACCAGGTAATCTTCTCTAGAGAAATCAGACAAACTTACCGACTTTAGTGCAGTTTCAGAGATTTTAATGGGCTCTCTTTATCATTTAAAGCCTCTTTCATTTGTGCTTTCAATCATTTTTTTCCCTGTTCCTTTATTTCCCACTTCTATCCCATTTTGTAGTTTTTTAGGATAGCCATTTTAGGCTTTCTTTAAAATAAATGTTTTCAAACCATGATTTCCAGTCATGGAATGAGAGTTTAGGGGGCTGATTGCTGTTCTTTTTGGAGAAGATCTACAATATTCTCAAGTGATGAGTGAACCTGTTCAGATTATTTATAAGCGCTGCTCAAACTCAGTGTTTGTAACTTCAGAGGACTGGTCTCCACTGGAAGTGATGTGAGGACTTCATTGGTTTATATAATCAGTCTAATCCTTTCACTGATTAACTCAAGCAAAAACCTCTTTTGGCCAGCTCCTTTTCCCTCTTTAGTATCAGAATCTCTTAGGGTAATCCTTGGAGACTTGGGCCTTGTCTCAAGCTTCAGACAGCACTGTCTGAGGGCTGATGCAGAGTGGGAGGAGGAGGGAAGACCAGAGCTGTCTAACTTCTGCCCACTGCACAAATAGAAAGTGATACTATCTGTCCAGTGCATTTGGGCAGGTAGAAAACACTGATTGCAGCCAGGGGGGATCAGGCATGAGCTCTGACCACTCTGGTCCTGACCCAGTGCTTCAGGAAGCCTACGAGATCAAAGTAGTTCCATTCCGTTACCTGTTTTCTGCCCACAAGCACATCAGGCATAACGGTGGAGCACACTGCAGTAGAGGCTATGCCCATAGCCCTGAGTGAGGCTCATTCTCTTGAGTTCAAGTTTCTGTTACCAGGGAGGGAAGCCTGATCTGCCTGTGAAGGTCACAGGGATCTTCCCTCCCCTGGTTCAGCTTGGTCAGTTTAAGTGAGCAGGATCAGAGCACTGAAGGTACCTCAACAGAGATATTAACTAACAGCCTTGGATTTCAGTATCAGATTTGGCAGTATGTTAACAGTTCACGGAATTCCTGTAGGGCCAGTTTGTCCCCATTCAGTCCAAACATTCTTAGATGGGAGAGACTCTCCTCCAATGGTGACTGTGACCCAGCCTCTTCCCATCATGTGATCCTGCCATCTTCAGCTTGCGGCTCCCAAGTTTGTCCTGCAGTTGGTCTCCAATCAAGTCGTTTTCAGAAGTGTGGCTGCCTCTGTGAAGGCACTAGGTCTAACTGGGGCACATTCTATTACCTTAAACAAAATCTCACTCTCCTAGTTTCTCTCTGGCAAACTCGGCCCAAGCCTTCTTGTCCATTGCCTGGGACATTGCCTTCAGGGACTCATGTGAGGAGAGCCTCTGTCCATGGGGAAAGGAGAGAACGCTCAGCGGATGATGGTCTGGGGGATCCTGGAGGGGTCCAGCGCTCAAACCAAAGGTTCTTCTTCTTTTTTTTAATATTTGCAAAATTGTGAGGCAGGGTGGGGGTAATGGCAGTGGCCAGTGAGTGGTGAAGGGATCTGTGTGGAAGGAAGACAACATCTCTGGGAAGGTGAGGGCAGGAGTGGCTTTCACCCAGAGTGGAGTGAGCAGCCAGAGAAGTTTGAGGAGGGCATGTGCACAGTGGGATGGTGATCACTCAGCCAGTGTTGTGGGAGCCTAGTTGTGATAAGGATGACGTTTGAGCAGGGGATATCATAGGATTTCTGTGTTGAGGGGAGGCAGCCATGGTTAGAAGCTTAGGAACAGGGTATTGAAACCTCAGCAGGGTGAGGAGGGTTCCAGTTAGGGAGCTGGTAGTGGTCCATAGCAAGACATTAGGGTCTGAGCAAGGACTAGAGGGCATCTGATGAGGGGAGAGGGACGACATGACCGCTAGATGGTATATGGTTATATACAAAGGTGATTCATGCAGTAAGTTAGTATTTTGAAATTAATAGAAGTCATTTTCTCACTGTTGAGAGAAATGGATTTAAAAACACGAAGAGAGAAAAGTTAGAATGAACCCTTTGCAGTTGATTTGGAATTGGAGTTATCACTGGAATTGGGAGTGTGAGCTCATAATCTTCTATATATATAGGAATAAGTAATGATGTAAATTGGCTCACTTTTTAATTGGATTGTCTTTTTGTTGTTGAGTTGTAAGAGATCTTTATGTGTACTGAACACAAGTCTCTTATCGGTTATATCATTTGCAAAATTTTCTCCAAATGCTTTGTGTTGCCTTCTCTTCGATTGTGTCCTTCATTTGAAACACAGTGCTTTTAATTTTGAAGAATTCTGATGTATCAACATCACTTGTGGCTTTGTGTCATATTTAAGAAACCATTATTTAATCTAACATTGCAAAGACTTGGTTTTTTCTTTTGTTTTCTTCTAAGAGTTTCAGAGTCTAAACTCCTATGCTTAGCTCTATGGCGTTTTTTTAGCGAATTTTGTAATGCTTTGAGATAGGAATCCAACTTTATTCTTTTGTTAAAAATTTTTTGACACTCCCACTACTACTGTATTAATTACAGGAGGATTGGTTATAGCAGAGGAAGAAGTGGCAGGGAGGCTCAGACCTGACTCCTACCTACCATCGATGACACACAATAGTAAATGAATAGCTGTGGTTGGCATGGGGGACGTAGGTTCTTCAGTAGAAGTAGAAATGAGGTCTTGGGATGAGGACAGGAGCTGGCCAAAAGCCTAATGAAGTTTTCTTTGTTCTGAATTTATTCATTTGTTTTATTCATTTGTTTAAAAAGAGGAGGGAGAGGGCTTATTTTAAGTGATAAGACTGGACAGAATCAGGAAGCGTAGGGAGGTCTGTTAGTGTTTTGTTGAATGACATTTTTTTTTCAATGGCTGTAATAATCTCTCTCTTCTGTGTAGTCTTCTCTTCTGTAGAAAATGGTGCCGTTGTGCTACACTGATGTTTCCAGTGACGCAAGATGATTTTAGGTGGTTTACTGACTCAGCATTAAATAACACTGAATCATATAGTGGGAAAGTCATTTCTTTCTCTTGTAAGCCTTCTAATTACGTCAAAAGCTTTTCTCTGATTCTTGCTTGTCTGCCTCTTTAATAACAAGGGCAGGTTTCAAATTGACAGCCTTCTGTGACTGTCAGTATCATCCTAGGTTTCAATAAAAGTAATTTACTTTCATTATCTTCATTTTTATGGTTATCCTCTACTTATGGAAAATTATACTGATTTTCCATTTAGGTTGATGATATAAATTTAAGTCAAAAGAACTGTTAAATAAGCTGACTAAATGAAAAATATGTAGATTTCACACACAAAGAAATGCAGTGTTGCCATACAAATAATGACAACATTCCAGAATCTCTGATTGTTTATCATTTCTTCTATATGTTTTTTTGAGAGGGATTTGGGAGCCCAGAAGAATTAAATTATCTTTGGGACATTTAAGGCCAGACTATGGTAGTTTTTACTTGTTTTAAGTCATTACACCACCTTCTTGTTTAATAGAAAATTCTTGTCATTAATTATGATAGCACTGAACCTTGAAGTGAAATGCAATTAGAACTGCATGATATGTATTACTGAAGATACAGGATCTCTCCAGTATATTATTGTAGCATCATGGAATCTTAGAATACAAAGAGACATTACTGACACTTTCCTGAATCTGACTATAATTTGGTAGGTCATTCAGCTCTTGGTCTTGAACCTGTAAAGTTATCCTTTGTGAGCCCTCCATAGCACAGACTCACCTGCAACAATTCTGTTAGAGTTCTTATTGGTCAAGAGACTGCTTCTTCAAAAATTGGGATAGTGGTTTGTTATTAGCCGAATTTCAGCTTAAAAAGAAATTGGGTGGTCCCAGAACACACACTGGAATTCTGTCACTCAGAAAATAACACTGTAGATATATTACTACTGGCACAGATAGTATCATGGGTTACAATGTTTATTGACAAAGCTTTTCCCATTTTAAAATTTCTCATCATTTCCTCAATCAGTGTTGCTAGTCACACAACGAAGAATTTAACACTTAGCTTATTAGAGATGAGGGACACTAAAGAATTTCTACAGAATTCTAAAGCAGAACCTAAGATGTCCATATCAAGATCAAGCAAAAGTGTGAGGGAAATCATTTCAGCACCTCTCAGGGGCCTTGCTGGCTCTCATGGAGAATAAGGTGGTGGTGACTGTTCTGTAGAGAGTTTCTCATAAGCAGGTGGAGCATTGGGCACCTGTGAGAATGAGAAAGGAGACCATAGACTTAGCAACCGCACACAAGGTTCTGGGATAGGAATTAAGTCAAAATAGTTAGCATCTTGTTTATACTTTTGCTCTGGGCTGAAACTTGTTTAAGTGTTCACATATAGTTTCCACCCAATGAGGTAATCATTAAATTTCACAAGTGTGGATGTTGAAACATTGTTGGGGGGAACAGCACTAGAGAAAAAAGGGCTAAGCGGCTTCCCCCAAATCTCAAAAATTTATTTGCACCTGGATTATCCTTGTGAGGAAAAGTCCCAAGCACTAACTAATGAATTCTTGAACCCTGTTACAGACACTGACACACACTGTATCTTTACCTCAAGCATAAATCCTTATAGTTGTGTCTGAACGCTGTTGCTGCTATCAGCAGAGCACAAGTGTGTCAGGCCTTCATTTAATGCTCACAACAACTCGAGGAGTATTTTCATTGCTCTTAGGTTACAGGTCAGGAAGCTGAGGCACAAAGAGTTTAAGTCACTTGCCCACAACTGATAAGTCATGAGCTAAGAATCAAATGTAGTAATTTGGCTCCAGAGTCAGTGCTCTTAACCATTATGATGTACTGCATCTATACTGGCACTGTCCAACAAAAACAGAGTGCACCACATATGTGATTTTAAAACTTCGAGTAGCTACATTTAAAAAAGTTAAACAGGTAAAGTTGATTTCACTAATATTTTCATTTAACCCCACATATCAAATATTATCATTTCAACATGGGCTCAATATAAAAATCACTAATGAGTTATTTATATTCTTTTCCTCATACTAATTTTGAAATCTGGTATGTATTCCAGCACATCTTAATTCAGACTACTGTGTTTCAAGTGCTTAATAGCCACATGTGACTAGTGGCTCTCCTAGTGGACAGTGCAACTCTATACAATTAATGATAAATACTTTTTTTCTCTGTTGGATCAATCTATGTTCAGGACAAAGGCAATTATACTAAAAAGGCAAGACAAAAATATAGTGTATCCAGAACCAAATCCTTCCCTTGAATCTTACATGTAGGGATTTCATTATTGACCCTGGAAAATGGGTATGAGAGGACACAATTTAAGAAAATCTCTGTGATTCCTTTTTTTTTTAATCTTACTATTTATTTTTTATTATGGTAAATTATACATAATATAAAACTTACCATTTTAACCATTTTTAAGTGGGTAGCATTAAGTACATTCATATTGCCCTTGTTTTTTAGTAGGAATAATTTTATCCATTTGAGTTAAAAGCAGCCATACATGAAAACACCAAGATGCAAGATCTCAACCTACCACGGGTTCACAATTGTTCTCTTGAGAAGGCAGTTTGCTGTCCTGGTGACCAAGTCCCTCACCTGGACATCTTCTTGTTAAGGTACTTTGAGTACCAGCATGAATGCTTTTGTCCTGAAATGTGAATTCATGAAGGTTAGTGGATAAGAAAAAACAATGGAGTCCATTTAAAAAAAAAAGAAGGAAACCATTTTAAGAGTGGGTTTTAATCTTGGTTCTGTCGCGTAATCGCTGTATGTCCTCAGACTATTCACTTTACTTCTCTGAATTCCAGTTTTTTGCATCTGTAATATGAAGGTGATATCACTTACCTCTCAGAGTTCTTGAGGGAGTTAACTAAAGGTAAAGTGTCTTGTATGCTGCCTGACTCCCATCAGTTAGTATTTTTGACGGGAAAGAAAAAAGAGTGGATCTAAAAAATGGACTTCAGAGAATGGTTGCAAGTGGAGTAGATCAGGGCTAGTGAGGCAGGAGCTGGTATCACAGTGACGAAAAGCATTAGAACAACAAGGGACACTCTATGCACCTTGAATTATTCAGGAGAGCTTAATTTAGTGCTTTTCTCCATCCCTAGAAAAAACTGACAATAGTTTATGCAAGACAGAGACATATAATCAAAGTGGAGACTGCAGGAGTGGTCTGCCCTAGTAAGGTGGAGTATTTCATCACTGATATTACTTAAAATTCCTGGCACATTGTGATCATAAAAAAAAACTTTTAGTTGCTTTTACTGTTGTAAAATTCTCCACAGCAGTGGTTCTCAGACTTAAGCATGCATCAGCATCACCTGGAGGGCTTTTTAAACACAGATTACTGGGCTTACATGTAGAATTTCTGAGAGAGTAGTCTAGGATGAAGACCCAAATTTGCATTTCTAACAAGTTCCCAGGTGATGCCGCTATTGCTGATCCAGGGCCACATAGAGAACCACTGTCTGCAGACAGTGTGCCTCCTCATTTTCTGTGCCTGGGGTGACAAAGACATTTAGAGGGAAGAGGAGGTCCATTGGGGCCAGGTGGGGGCCATAGAAAAGGAGAGAGTGTATATCCCATTTATAGAGACAACACTGCATAGCTGCCAGGTTTTGCCAGATCTTTTGATTTTTTTTTAAAAAGAGACTAGAAATTAAGATTTTTATGTAAAATGTGACTTTTAAATGTTGGCACCTAATTCAGTTTTTTCAGATACAACCGCAAGTATATCTGAGCCAAATCCTCCAGTAGGGCATGAGCAGCAATCTGTGGTCCTGGCCAAGAGGGGCTGGGGCAGGGAGGTTGTGCAGATGTTCAATGGCTCCGCAGCCTTGTCTGCAGACTGTGGCTGATTGCAGGGGTGACTAGGTTGGAAGAGAAGGACATCAAGTAGGACTCCCAGGGAGGAGAGGTGTTTGGAACATCAATTGGACAAGGCCAAGCACTGATGGGGCTGATACCTGTATGGTCTACAGACTGTGAAGTAGTTTTCCTAAGCTCTAGTCTGAAATTTTTAGTGACCCTACCCCTTGGAAGGAGATACGCACAGGACTCCAATCTTGACATGAGGACCCAGGGAGGTTCTGCTCCCTTACACAACTCCCAACAACATACCTCAGGTAAGATGTTTAATGCATTCTCTCCCTTTACCTCAAGTATTGCTTTTATTCCTTTTCTTTTCTTTCTTTTTGTTTCTTTTTAATCTCTCACCTGCCATAGGGTAGAAGCATGATCTACTTCCCCAGTTCACTGCCAATTTTCTGCATTTGCATTCAAACCTCAGTGTGCAAGTTAAAATATAGGCTCCTGGGTCCCACCACTAGAGATGGTCCCAGAGGCTGCATTTTAACAAGAACCGTAGGTGATTCGAGTGCAGGGGCCCCTGACCATACATACACTGAGGAACATGACACTGTGAGACAGAAATGTAAACTGACTTGTCAGCAGGGCCTTTAAATTCTTTTCCAAGAATCAAGGATATTATGTCCTAAACTTACAAGTAAAAGAGTAAACTTGGTAAATATGAAAACCAACTTCCAGTCTCTTACAGATCGTTTTCCTGCAGAAACTCATAACTGCAAAAAGTGGTCTTTTCTTTCCAAAGATATCAGGTTTGAGGAATTGTTAGCCAAGGGAGAAATTTTAGGAGACCTTAATTCCAACCAACTTTGCTACCATTCTGTGGTCAGTGGAAGTGGGAAAATAAACACATTTCAAAGCTTAATAAAGGTGGAGTAATTTCAGGTATCTGAAGCTTTCATTTATCATCATTTATGTTCTTCTGCTCTAAAATGAAACTAGAACCACCAAAGAGAGACAGGGAGGTAAATTATGTAATTAAATGCAATACTTAATGCACTGTTTTACATAATTTGGCCTAAATTTCTTAGACTGCTGATCCCCAACCTGGCTTATCAGGAGATATGAAAGTCTCAGAATAAGATTTTAATATTAATTTAAAAAATAAATGACAGCATCTTTAAACATTAGGGAACCAGGAAATTGAAACACAGTTCCATCTCATAAAAATTCCAGAAACTCTGCAAATCACTGATCTAGACCTAGAGGAATGGAGGATGGTAGGTTGAACTTGAACCTTGCGGGTAAAGTGTCTGAGCCTGTGACACTAAGGCTGTTAGTCTTCAACTGAATGTGTTTCAGGTGAGTGTGTTGAAGCATAAAGGAAAAAAACCATTGCCTTTTTGTCCAGTAGCATCAAGCTAGCAATAGTGGACAGTTAGGAAATGGGTACCAACATAACAGGTTTGTACAGCTTTTACAAAAATTAAATCATTATGTTTTTATATGCAAACATCAAATGAAAATGTTTTAAATATAGAAGAAAACATACATTAAATAAAAACTGATACATGTTATGTTACATCGCATGTGTCTAGGTACAGAACTGAACAAACGAGGCTCAGAGAAGTTGAAATCTGAGGTCACCACACAAGTCAGTGGCAGTGAGACCAAATCCTGATGCCATACAGTGGGGGGACTGCTAAGTGCCAGGCACCGTGCTAGGCACTGGAGGCACAAAGATGAATAAGAAATGTTCTCTGTTCCAGTTCATAAATGGGGGGAAGAGAAGGGGTGGGAGAGGCAAGAAGTAAATAACCAATTACAAGGTAATGTCATAACCCTGTCCTAGAGGTACACGTGGAGTTCAGTGGCAGAGAGGAAAGTTTCATCTGTAACCTCCTAACCCAAGGCTTTGCTATCGTACTTGGTTTGGAGTCTTATTCAGACTCAGAAACTTCTCCTTCCCATAAACGTCACACTTTGGAGGGCTGCTGCTTTGTGGCTGTGTGCCCTCCAAACTCACCCTTTCTTTCATGGTTTGTGTCTGGGACACTATGGCAAGATGTGCATTAGGGAAAGGAAGTCATGGACTGTCCGGCTGCCCAGGCTTCCTGGCAAGGAGGAGAAGAACTCAAAGCTATGGCTCCTACCTTCTCCTTTTCCTCCTCAGACATCTAGTCTCCAAGCCCTTACCCACACCAACCCTTCTTTGCATCACAGAACCTTTTTCTCTGAATGAAGTGCTTGGTGAATGAGGAATGGGACTTCCCAACATTTTTTGTAAAGATGAAAAATTTTCCATTATATATCAGCCCCAGAAACTTTCAGATCTGTAATTACAAGAAAGAGGGAGGCAGGTGGGAATTGCATCTCTTCTTCCATCCCATTGCTCACTGTGGAGAATGCCTTTGGATGCTTAAGTGCTACTGGGCTTTGGAGCAAATTTTCTGAAACCTATCATTTTTATAGTGTGGATACTCAGTTGTTTCTCATTTGTTGAAGATCCTGCTGCCCCAAGACTGGACTTTGTCATTCATTAACGTCCTACTCATGTGGGTAAAGAAGCAAACATCCTATTAAAACTGCATTGGCCATTGACAGAGGATGGAGCCTGTTAAAAACCCAGTGGTCCTCTGTGCTGTTGAGTGGTAGATGGTTTCCTCACTGAAATGATGACTGGATGGGTCCTGGGTATGCTAGGTTGTTGGTATAACAGATTTAGAAGAACTTGGATTCCCAGGTAACCTTGAAGGAAATGACTGAAGAGAGAAGAAATGACTTAGAGCCGACTGCTAAGTCGCATAACAGGACCAGTAGGAATCTGCAGGAGGATTGGTAAGACCTGGAGTTCTTGTATGCTGCTGTTTGCTGTGCAAGAGGACCATGAACCCTTCCCCTGTGCCCCAGAAACCATCAGAGCTCAGCTACACACACACAGACAGGCACTCGAGTTTGCTGTCAGTGGAACCAAAGAGATAAGCCAAGTTCCTGGTTGGAGTTCATGCCTGGGAAGAGGCAAAGGAAGAGTTACAAGTAAAATGTAGAGAAAGACTCTGGTGGGTGGGGCGGGGGTGGTGTGGAGGGTATAGCTCAAGTGGTAAACCACATGCTTATCATGCACAAGGTACTAGGTTTAACCAACAGCACCTCCTCTAAAAATAAATAAGTAAATAAACCTAATTACCTCCCCCTACAAAAAAAGACTCCTCACCCAGGAATCAGAGCTAGAGGCAATCCTAAGAATATCACTGCATTGCCCAGAAAGTCAGACAAAGAAGGGGAAGGCAGGTCCTGGATCTTGACAGACTCAGCAGTGGGAACTTTACCAACCTTCAAGCTTCTGTATCCACTTCGTCTTCTACAGTACCAGCAGCTGATAAGCAGTAAAATTCCCAAGATCACGGTCAGGATGCCAATCCCTGCAGCCCTGGCCCAAGAGAGAGACAACTCTATCTTGTCACAGAAACCTTGTTCCAGATTGTGATGAATCATGCATCAATCTTCTCTCTTCACAGGGCCTTCGACAGCAGAGCAGTACACTCCCAAGGTGTGTCCCACCCCACACCCGACCAGGTACCCACCAGACCTCCAGCACCCTTCTCCAGGGTCAGGACCATCTCGAGGAACCTCTCAGGTGTGTGCCCACAGCAGCAGAGCTAACTGGCATGGGCCCCAGCGCCCAAGTTCCAGGTGCAACTGATGCAGTAGCAACTGACCCTTATGTGGACAACATATTTGAGACTGAATTGTCTTTCCATTAGGGCTAGTTTAAAACCTTTTCCCCAACTATCAGTTGACAAAAAGGAAATACAAATCAACATTGACTTAATGTCTGCTGTAAGCTGGGTGCCTTGCTAACCATTCTACATGCATTAGCTTATTTAATTCTCACAACAGCCCTGTAAGGTAGGCATCATTTACCATCCCCATCTTACACAGATGAGGAGATAAATGCAGAGGTTAAGTGCCTTGCAATTGGTCATACAATGGTAGCACAAGACTGAGCTAGGATTTGAACTTGAGTCTGTCTCAGCTGTGTTTGTACGCTCTCCTTACCCAACCCTTCCCTCTATTCCTGCCCTGACTAATGCTCCTAGATGCCAGGATGATGGCAGCCTGTGGTGGTAATTAGCAGTGTGCTTGCCTGTCTCTTCCAGAAAAAGGGCTCCCAGAGAAGCTTTTTGGGTTTTGGCTTATTTGTTTTTAATTTGTGTCCTCAGTGCCTAGGAAGGGTCAAGCACACAGGTGTTTCAAGAAATATTTCTTGAAGATAGACGCATGGATGGATGGATGGATGGATAAATGGATAGTTGGATGTATGGCCAAACAAATGAATAAAAATGAACAAATGAATTATGGGTGATGAATAACACCAGTCTCTGTGAAAAATAAATAAGCCATTTAATATCTTCTTAAAATAACTATTTACAAATATGTGGATTTGTGGCATAATGTTAGCCCCAACATCTTTTCTTTTGCATTTGCAATTGGAACTAAAGACCCACTTGAAATACTGTCTTTAGAGATTTATTCCTTTAGCTCATTCCTAACGGCTTAATTCTCTGTTACTTTAACCTCAGTAACCTCTTGTGGGTGGATCAGCAACTTTCCACACAGCAGGTTTTGGGTGGGGGTGGAGAGAAGGTAATGAAGAAAAGGAAAGACCTTGGAGACCAGCCACAGAGAGTTCAGAGCTGGCACATTGTGACTGAAGGGATGGAAGTAGGACTTGTGGTATTTAGGAGTCTCTGAGAATATAACTATCTCACAAGGATGCTAGCGGCCAGCCCCACTGGTGAGACATGTGTCCCGTGTTTATGCTCAGCTAGGCAAGCTCCTGTCTGGCTTCCACTTGTTCCAGGAATCCAGTGCAGGGTCACCAAGGACCAAACTAATTAGGTCAGTGCTTGATGCTTCCTCTGGTCTCACCTGAGTGACCAGGAAGGTACACCTCAGAATGGAAGTGGTAGATCCTGGGGATGCTGAGACAAGAGGTCTGACCTTGCCAGCCTGCCTAGCCGCCAAGTCAGAGAGGCCAGCTGACATTTGGAGTCAGGTACTCAGTAGGTATGTACTAAGCACCTCTTGGCTGGGCAGACATGGACTACCTGGAAGAAACAGCATAGGGGATCAGCTCTGGGAGAAATGACTGAGTTGCTCCTAGAGAAAAGCTGTATGTCATTGAGCAGGCTCTCCTCAGGAGGACACAGTCTGGGCATCTGAACCAGCGTCTGGGGCCTTGTGTCCGGTGGCCCATGGAAGTACTAGCTACCACAAAGGCCCTGGAGACGGGTCCTGGGACTGCACTTCCCTGCATGACACTGTCAATTAGCTAACATTTGCCTGGTTTTCCACATCACAACATGATCAACGTGAGAGTGCTGAGTCTCTTATCTGTGACTTGGCTAGAGAAAGGCTTTGCAGTACTGGGTGATTTATAAGAGGCTGAGCAGCTGCTGGTGAAGCAAGGTCTAATTGAGCCATCTCTTGGAGAGACCTTTGCACAGTACCACCCACTGGACCACCATCTCAAGGCTGCTGGGGCATCCAGCCTATCCTTCCATCTCTGAACAGAATAACAGCCCTGGATGAAAATGCTGACCCAATAATGCACCCAGTCAACCCACTTTATAGATTATGAGGCTGAGACCTACTGCAAGTCTCCAGTGTAACCACCACCTAAGCAGCTACTCTACCATTTGTTGAGCACCAATTTGTGCCAAGCACAGTGGCAAGCCCACTACTGAAGGCTTTGATTCCATCCTCACAAGAATCCTCTGAAGTAAGTAGGATGTTCATTTTCCATCTGACGTCTCCAAGACTTTAGGCTGCTAAAAGTCCAAGGTTGCACAAGCAGAGAGCAGCAGAACCAGCATTCACAGCGACTGGCCCCAGATACCCAGCCAGTGCTTTTCTGCCGCATCACCCTTTCCTGAGACGAAGCCGTTACAGGAAGCATTCGTGGGCTCTCGTGACTGAAGGCAGCTGATTCATTCTCAGCATGCCTGCACTCTAATTTTACCCCCTCCCCCCCCAGGTCTGTGGTCATCCCCTTGGACATCTTGGCACAGACAGAGCTCTGTTCCAGCTCTTTTGCCCAGTCACATGGCACTGTCACATGCTGAGTAACAACCGAGAACATTGGGATGTGCCAGACACAGCAGAAGAACCCACCGCCCAGCCGGGCAGGGGTCCTCAGATATCATCCAAATACCTCTAGCAGCAGAATTGCCTGAGATGCATGTTAGTGCAGATCCTGGTCCCCCGACCCTCAGACCTCCTGAGTCAGCCTCTTGGGCAGCAGTGTCTAGAAAGCTGCATTTTCACAAGCTCCATGGGTGACTTATGCCCCCTCAAGTGAGAACCCCTCTTGACTGGGGTTTTGCAGAGATATAGGATCTGCTGAGTCACCATACAGAAGCTGATACAATATCCTACCTAATACCACATGCAATGGACCCCCAAGAGTGTATGTTTGCTCTTGGGACATTTTCTTCAGAAGATCTCCCTACCTCCACTCCCAGTTGACCATGCAGGGATTTTGGAGAATCACAGCAGGGTCTTCTGAGGAAATGCTCCCAGCCTGAATTCTTCCCTGGTGCCATTGATGGTTTCTACATCTCACTTGCCCCTGCTACTTCACTCTAGTAAATATTATTCGACAGTTCTTTCATGAGAGAGAGCAAGTTTGAGGGAAGTTTTGAGCAGACCACTTAAGAAATGCTCCAGATAAAAACTGGGTTACTTGTTTGTCCTGTTGGAATCTCCACTCGGGGTTGTGGGGAGCCCCTTCCCACCACCACCTGTTCCCACTCGAGTCGATGCAGAGTGTGTCCTGCAGCCTGTGTTCCCATCACAGCACTTGAACTTGCTGAAACTTCCCTCAGACTTAAGTCTCCCACTAGATTGTAAGATTTTTTCAAAGACAAGAATAGTGTCTTGGGCTGGTATACAATGTTTAGCTCTTAGAAATGCTTAATCATTTAAATACTTATTTTAAATTAACTCTTAATACCAAACACCTTTCCTTGAGATAAAGTATTGATACAAAGGTTATGACCACCATCTTCACCATGCAGCCAGTCAGCAGGTGGAGTTGCACACACAAACCTGCCATTCCTCCTCACTTGCTCTTTGGCAGTTTGCCTTTGTTCTGTCTGCAAACCGCATCCAGGATCCTGAATGGAGCAGACATGCAAGGCTTGAGGAAAGAGGCATTTTGCTTCCAGACAGATGTTGTTCAGCCTGGGAACCTACAGTGTAGGTCTAATAGCTAAGAATGCAGACAAAAATGGCAAGACCCAACTTTTTACCATCCCTACATCGCCTTTTTTGGCTTCAGAGAAGCTTGAGGCCCCTTGTAGGACCACAAATTCTCCTTACCTTGTTGCCGGGGTTTTTGCTTTCTGGAGAAATAAACACTAGAGAAATTTACAGGCAGGACATGCATGTGCTGATGGAAGCCAGCAGGCTGTGTCATCAAACGGCAAACTGGAAACCCCACTAGGTCTAGTTTTGAACTTACTCTTCAGCTGTGATGTGGGAGTGGCCATGCCCTTTCCTGGGGGACCCATTGATGAAGTAAGCCTCTTCTCTTGGCATCTTGTGGGATCAGGCCACAGGACACCTAATAGCAGGGGCACACAGGTGTCATTTAATGCATCCAGAATGTCTTTACCATAAACCCCCATGAAGACATTCTCGTTAGGTGACCAGTAATGACAGCCAAACCAGACAGCTCTTGTTTCTCTCTGTGAGAGGATTTGTACCTGTTTCTTTCAGTCACATCAAGTGGAAATTGCTCAGGATTCTAACGCTTTCTACCAACTGAAAATTAAGTTCCAAGAAGAAACCCACAAACAAAAGCAAAACACTTTCAAATTGAGTTATTATTTGGGGGTGGAAATGGGACGTTCAGTTTGACTCAGTACCATAAATTTGTAGAGAAAAAGCGTTTTATTCACTCCTTACTTTTCCTGGGCCAAGACTGGTTAATAAGAAAAGTTATTTCTCTTCAAAGGTATTATTTTGTATCTATCCTTGGAGAAGTAGAGGCTATGATATAGTGTGTGTGTGGCCTAACACAGCATCGTCCAAGCCCATTTTCCAACAAAGGAGACCACCCCAAACAGGTTCCTGGATGTGTCCACGTCCACTCATCCAAGATAAGCTGAGGAAGCTTGACCTGGTCTAACAATTGTCTTCCCTCCACTGAAATCAATTTCTGCCTCTCCCTGTTCAAGTCTCATGACTTGGGTTTTAAATACATACATACATACATATATATAATAATACAAAATTTTAATTTTAATTGTCCATCATACAAATACACAAAAAGCTCATGAACTTCAGTGGTCATGATCAAAGTGTGCTTGTCAAAACAAATAATGGTTTCTCTTCTCTCCTCGCTGTTGTGTATTTTTCTTCCCTCTTATTGTTCTCATGAATCCCAAAGGTCTGATCCCCTTAGAGTTATATTAATGAGCCTGTTGAAAACAGCTGGGAGAGAAGTGGGAGCGTGGAGGGGAGCGTTCACCCCATGAACCCTTTCCATGGGGCATTTCATGTGTCATCTGCCCTTCCCAGTTGTAAAGAAGAAATCACACTAGAACTCACTGATCCTCTCAGGTGAATCATGTAGGGGTGAACACTTGGTTTAAAATTACAGACACAAAATTCAATTCATTCTGGGTTAAATTTTGTAACTCTATACCTCCAGCTTCAAGCCTTGGCAAGCAGCATAGGGACAGCAAATGCACCTCATCCCACCTGAACTAAGAAAAGTGGTTCTTCAAGGGACCTGACAACAGCTGCTCACAAGCTGGCTGCAGCCTGAACAGCTGCTGCTTCTGATTCTCTGCTTTGCTTCCCAGCAGTCTGGAGGGAGGACCTAGGAGGAGACTTAGTGAACCTTCAGAAGTCAGAGAATTATAAATGTTGAGGAGAAATTCTGCTGACAGCCAAGCCTCAGGGAGGCAATGAGGAAGGACTGAGGAGTCCACCAGAATCCTCCAAACCCAATTCTCTTCTGAAGGAATGGACGAGAAAGCAATGCTCTTACCTGCTTGCGTAGGACTGACTCCGTCTGCTGGCTGGCCTGTATGTGAAGACTGCTTCTCTGGCTCTTAATCTTAAAAACTTTTTTTTCCTGGTCTTGAATCCCATGTTAGTCACGAGTTTGGATTTCTGATGGGGTCGTCTATGATTGCTTAATTGGCGTGAAAGAAACCAGCCTCATTCCTCTCCTCAAAAAGTCACGGCTCATTGTGGCCTCTGTTTTTCCCAACCCCAGGGTTTCATCTTAGGGAAGCCATTTATTTTAAATGCTGGTCCTCCTCGGTGGGGTTCCCAGGGCAAGATACAAGATGCCCAGTTACAACTGAATTTGAGATAAACAATGAATAATTTTTTAGTTTAACTGTGTCCCAAGCAAAACTTTTTAGTTTAAGTGTGCCCCACCTTTTGCATGTGACATATTTTTACTAAAAAATAATATTGGTTATTTACCTGAAATTCAAATGTACCTGGCACCCTACACCTTCCCTCATCTTCATGGGGTTGGAGAGACTTTGGGCTCAGACCTGGAGGTCATCTGGTCCCATGCCCTTCTGATCAAGAAAAGGAAACAGGATCCCTAAGACTTCCTAAGCTGAGCTCCCTTTGTGGCACCCTCAGAGATGTCTGTCCCCTGAAAAGAGTGGGTTCCCTGCATTTTCAAGGGGCAGACAAAATTTTCTCTTTGAAGGTAAATATGACCTACCTAGAAATTTAACAGAAACCAGGGCTGATTCAACCTGACATCATAACCTACTCTGAGAGTTCAGCCCAGAAGCATTTCAGTTAGGCAGAATTATCTTTGCTCACCATCTCTCTGTAACCATTGTGGACAAGCAAAACCAAACCAAACCCCACCAGAAGTAAGGAATGTGAGAGTTCCCATCAGCTGAGGACTTTAATTAAGTGACCACTGAAGTCCCCTTCCCCATAACATCTGACGACCCCACTCCATCCAGATCCTGTGGCTTTCCAGTTTCCATTCTGGATTGTCCTATGTCAGGGCAGTATCAACCCACTGGACACTGAACAATTATCACTGGAACTGGCAAGGGAGAAACAAAACAGGATTGGGGAGGTTGAGTCTTACTAGGTGAGATTGTTATTCTCTCCAAGGAGATAAAATGTAAACAGATTTCAATGACAAGAAGGAGTCAACCATACAAAGATGGAGAAAAGAGCATTTCAAACAGAGAGATGAATCAGTGCAAAAGCCCTGAGGTAGAGTAATAGAACAAGACTTGGACTAAATTCCCAGAACTGAGGTTGATTCAGGAGATTTTGTAAGAAAATCAAGAAGGATACAAGCCCTTGGTGTTGACAGATTTGGAGAGAGCAGTTTCATCCTGAACCTCGTGTTATGCCTGATAACTCCCAGGAATGCCTGGTGGTGGGTTCTAGTCTAAAAGAAGGGTTCAGTTCCGAACCTAGAAGCCGAAGGTTTGTGTTGAGCTGAACTCTGCAACTAACATGGGCCCCTGGATGATGGGCAGCAAGACAGAGAGGAGGAAGGTACCAACCTGGATCTCAGGGCAAGGGGATATTTCCTGGTTCTCTCCAAGTCCCCTTGTGATGTGAGCTAATTCAGGGGCCCTGAGTGTGCCCAGGCATTGTTCCAGGGTGGAAACTACAGGACAGCTGGCATCATCCCCTCCCCCAGGAGTGGGGGCTACAAGACTAGACTCAGCATATAGGAGGCACTGTGATCTGTCTGGGCACCTTCTCCCTAGCTCATCTGATTTTTGGAGCTCAGCAAGGAAGCCTTGATCATATCTTACAGGGGCATCTCTTTGGATATTAGAGTGGTTTGCAGTCTGAGGTGCTCAGTCCTGTCAGGGTGAAGTGCCCAGGATAAGCTGGGATGGCTTCTTCAAATAACAGTTCCCAGGAAACCTCAGCCTGAAAATCCTACCATATCCTGTTTCCTGGAAGTGGCTCCAGAAGTTCCCTGGACTAAGGCTCCAAATCACTATCCTTGGACTGGTCTAGGCCTCAGGCTCTGCCCCAGAGCCAGCCCAAACCAGGCCCTCACCCTGCACACTTCCTAGTGACTTCCTTTCTTCCCTGGCAGTGTAACTCTCCCCCTCCTGCTCCCCCACCCCCCTCCCCACCACCAGGCTGAGCAGGGGCTCTAGAGTCCAAACTGTCTGCATTTCATCTCTTCAGTCTGTAAGAACTTGGACAAATCATAAACCTCTTGGAGCCTTATTACATGCATCCAAAAAGGAGTGCTAATAACAGTACCTATTCCTAGGGTAGTTAGGAGAGTTAAAAGAGATAATGCCCACCATGTGCTTGGCACAGGATCTGGCAAAGAATAAGTTTAGCAACTATAGGGTGAGCTGTTACTCCAAGGCTGCCCCACCCATTAATTACTCCTTGTGTTTGGTTTTTTGTGGAGGAGGGGATTGAGGAGTTTTTTTGTATATACATTTTTATTGAAGTATAGTTAGTTTACAATGTTGTATCAGTTTTTAGTGCACAGCATAATACTTCAGTCATACATGAACATATATATATATATATATATATATATATATAT